ATGTTCAATGTTCAGGATATGAGTCATCAATAACAGATTGCGCACATCGAGGGTTTGGATCTCATGACTGTTATCATTTTGAAGATGCTGGTGTCGTCTGTGAAGGTAAATAAGTCTTTTTTTTTTAATGCAGCAAATTAATTATCATTAAAGGCGTGTACATATGAAATATTTAGCCTCTGTGGCTATTATGGAGACAATGGTGGTGTGTGACGGTAAATATTTAAACTAACTTAGTCCACGAATCATCTTAGTCAGTGGGATGTGACATAAGATTTTATTATAAATTTGAAATGTTTTTACATCATTCAGCAAAGCGAGCATAACACATTTTAAGGCTTTATCCTTTAATTGCAGTTTCTTTGGTCTCAGCAATTTCACATTCCTTTTTTTTCCTCTCTTGTTGCGTGTGTATGTGTTTTTTTTAATTCCACCTCTTCAGATGGTAGACTACTACAGACCTCTCAGCTTGTTTGCTCCCGTGATCGGTTCCAAGTTGGTGTGTCGATGAACAGCCTTATGTCATCTGATCTGGATCCATTCTCTGGTCACCTGGCTTCACCTTTCTGTTCCCAATACATCGTGCAGGATTATATTGTGTGGTTCGAAGTGAGGCGTCATGCTGGCGTCTGCGGAACAGTACTCACGGTGAAAACTGACTACTTTCATTAAAAAAATAAAAATTCTGTGCTCTTTTAATCTGTTTCTTAACTTTTCAACTAGTAGGATTTTGTGTCTCTGTTTTTGCTGTTAACTGGGAAGGACACACAACTGACTGTAGCGCCATCACTGTGCTCGTTATTTGTTTGCTTTTAAAAGTACTTCACTGTTATTAATGCAGTTATTTGTGGTTTCAAATTGACTTCACCGTGAAAACTCAGTTTTTCCTTAGTCTCCAGCAGTAATGCTACAAAATGATATAAATTTAAGTCAAGTTTTATGATCATAGATTACTGCCAGAGTTCACCAAAAGAATTAAATAAAACCATTGTCAGTAGCATGTAATGGTGTCAGTGGCTTTGATCAAGAACACCATGAAACGATCATGAAATGTGTCACCCATTTTCCATCTGGGTGCTGTGTTGCCCAAACCCTTCAAAGTATCTTAAGTGAGCATGAGCTTGGCAAAGACCATTTGGATTACATATATAATATAGGGCTGCAGGGTGGCGCAGTTGGTTGGCGCCCATTAGCGTTGGTTAGGTCCCATTCTGCTTATTTTAATGATGTAGTGAGATTCATGATGTATGCCCGTGTTGACATACCTTAAGTGGATGTACTTGTTCAAGTGATGGCATGGACGAGGAGAGGAGTCTAGAATTGGAATGATGCTTTGACTCGGTTTATAGAGAGGTTTTTATTGAAGTGAGTACTTATTTAAGGTAAGAGGACCTTTATTGCCATTGTTGTAAAAATAAACATTATGTAAAGATCATATATGGGTCATTGTTAATGAAAACAGTGCATTATCAGTTTAAGATGGGAAATGAAGAGTGGTCTCCTGTGTTACAGGACAATTTTGTCAAGCCATCCATCCACCCTGACCTCTTCTCTCCATGTGCTTTACAATTGTATAACCTGACTTCTTGTTTTGCTCCTGTCATAATTACTACAGTTACTGAAGGTCTTTGTCACTTGAACATTAACACAGCCATGGGAGGTGATATATCACTGCGACTGTGCATGAAATTTCTTGATGGCTTTTGTTCAGACTCTCTTCCCTTTAACTACTTTGTTAGTGTAACTAGATAATTACCTTCACACCTATACTATTTGTACCTCCAAAGAATGGTGGTGCTGTGCAGGGGGATCAAAACTACTAGGACTTTGTGCAGAGAGATCTGAACTCTCAGGACGATGGGAAAGCAAACCAGCTGCCTCTGTAGCAGTGGCCAAAACAATGATAATCAATGCCATTGTTCAGTTGGATTTATGCCAATGAGGTGTTCTTGTAGAAGAAGGAAATAGTATTCCAAGAGGACAAACAGTGTTGTTGTGGACACGTTTCCTTTTGTGTATGGGCTGTGACAGATAGTAAACCATGTGAATAGCTGCTGTCCTGATTAGAAAATTGGAAGGATGACAAAATCTCATGCAAGTTCACGCATATGACGAGGTTATCAAGCTGAATTCTCATAAATGTCATCCTTTTCTTTCAGACCAACAGGACCCACGCCATCTACTCCAACTCCTTGTTTTTCTACTCTACAAGCAATGATTCCTTAATTCCATCTGAGGCTATCCATTTCTCCTGTGTCTACCCCTTGGAAACAAACGCTGGCCTGAATGTTGTAATCAGACCTCAACAGCTGTAAGTCTCCTGTTGTCATCCTTTACTACAACACCACATTTATTTTGCGATCCCTGGATAATCAAATTGTCTTCTTTCTTTACAGTGAAGGTGGTCTTTTAGGGTCAGGCCCCAAAGCCACAGCCTACATCTATCTGTACAGAGACTCCGACTTTAGAAGCCGGTACCCACCAGGCTGGGTCAATCTAACAGTGGGCTCTGCCCTAAATGTGGAGGTGTCTGTAGAAGAGAGAGATTTTAGCTTTGAAGTTGTTCTGGAGAGATGCTACACCACTCCCTCTTCAGACCCTGATTATCTATTTCCAGACCATCTCATTCGTTTCGGGTATGGGTCTTGCCTAAATCAAATGATTGTTCTTAAAAGACATGTGGACTGAAAGTAAAATTAATGACATGAAACTGCCACAATGACTCAGTCTGACGTTTCATCAGGTGTCCTATTGACCATCATCATGTGATAATGGTTGAGAATGGCCGGGCTCGTCGTGCTCGTTTCTCTGCCCTGCTCTTCCCTGTCCAGAGTGACAGCCCATACATCTTCCTTCACTGCAGCCTCAGGCTCTGTGACGACAGGCTCAACAGCTGTGTCCCAGTGAGTCAGACGATCAGCTTCTTACTTATCCAAAAGAATCAATCAGTGCCTCATGCAGTCAATCACTGGGAATGGGTCTCTAAACATTCTACCCCTCTCTCACCTCACAGTCTTGTCGAGGCAGGGCACCACGCTCTGTTCCCAGCTCAGCTCAACTTGATCTCCTCAGCATTGGACCAATTACCTGTAAGTATACAATATAAAGTAGGCAGGTATCAGAGCTGATGTCTCAGCAACATGAACTAGTGGAGCTTGAAAGGTTCTGTGTGCAACATTCAGAACCGTTGTATGTCAGTAGAGCACTGGCATGTCAGACTGAAGCAAACAAGTGCGTCAGCCACACCTCGTCCCTCTTTTCACATTTCATTTATAACCAGAAATACAACAGCCAACAACAAAAATAAATCGGCTACAGGCATTAGCCCGCACTAGCATTGTAAAAAAAAAAATTTAAAAAATCACTGAATGTCATGAGAGCTGCAGGGTGGCGCAGGTGGTTAGCACTGTTGCCTCGCAGCAAGAAGGTCGCCGGTTTGCGTCCCGGTGAGGACACCCGGGATCTTTCTGTGTGGAGTTTGCATGTTCTCCCCGTGCAGCGTGGGTTCTCTCTGGGTTCTCCGGCTTCCTCCCACACAGTCCAAAAACATGTTGAGGTTAATTGGTGATTCTAAATTTTCTGTAGGTGTGACTGTGAGTGTGCTTGGTTGTCAGTCTCTAAGTGTGGCCCTGTGATAGACTGGTGACCTGTCCAGGGTGTCCCCTGCCTTCGCCCTGATTCAGCTGGGATAGGCTCCAGCCCCCCCGCGACCCTAGTGAGGATTGAGTGGTGTATAGATACTGGATGGATGGATGAATGTCATGATGACATATTGCCAAGTCGTTTAACATTATCTTCATCTGTCTCTCCTCTCTGCCCTTGTCTGCTCCAGTCCGTGTGTCTGTGTGTTGAAACAGACACACACAGACCAGAGCAGACAGACGGCAGAAAACAAGAAGCAGAGGAAGCAGCAAAACAACTGTAGGGACTCGTACACGGAGCTAAAATGAAACGAGTGGGTATAAACTAAGCGTGTCACAGGTTAACAGGGAAGGATCCAAATGCAGACACAACAGACTGGCAGGTTAAAATACAAAAGAAACTTGAATCAAAACAAACTTGGCAAGGTTACAAAGGCAGGGAGAGAAATGAAAGCGGCTGGAAGTCAGGAAAACTCCAAACTGAAAAAGTCCATGTGAATTTGAAAACGGTAACTAATACAAATGCAAATAACAAAAAACTGATGAGAGAACCAAATATCCAAAACGCAAAACACAAACCTGGTTAACCAGAGGAGCACATGGACCATACATAGGTAGACCGACTGGAACAGGTCAGATAACTGCAGATTAAACGGTAGATAAAACAGGCAATAAAACAGGCAGATATCCAGCAGGGTGGCATATTAGAGGATGAACTGGCAGAGGACGAAGGAAAATACAGGACAATATATACACAGGAAACTAACTGGAAGACAAGATGCAGGTGAAACAGATCATGGCAATCAAAAGAAAGAGAACCCGACAGAGGCAGGAAGTAAAGACGACAAAAGACACGCAAGGGTAGGGAATGAATCGTAAAATGGGAAATAAACAACCCAAGCCCATGGCACTTCAGACTAAACTTTTGCTTTTCCAGTGCAGTAAGGCAGGCCGCTCTCTGCCTGTTTATAAAAATGGAGAGGGCCAACAGTTTTAAAGGGAAGGACTCACATGCATTGTCATGCATCAGCAAATGCATTGAACCAGCTGCCAAAACAAAGAAAAAGACAAGAAAAAAGTAAAGCTCACACTGCAACACAAACAGAGGAAGTGTGACTTCAGGACGCCGTTACGACACTGTTTCTTTACATACCAGATAGCTGTTAATTAATGCCATATTTGTGTTCACAATCTCCCGTCTTGCACCTTTAACTATACTTCATGTTTGTTTCCTGATCTTCAGGGATCAAGTGACAAGTTAATGGAGTGAGCTGGTTAACTCTACAAACTGATGCAAGCATATTCTGAAGATTTTTTATTTTTTTTTAACTTAGGTGTTGTTTAATTTCAGAATTATTTGAAATACCCTTGATATTAATAGTGTCAGTATGTCAGCAGTGGTCAGTGCTGACTCTGTTTTACAATCTTAGTAACTTTGTAATGTCTAATCTGTATTTTACTGTCATAAAAACTATACAATAAATGTACATTAATACAAAGATGAGTTGCAATAAAAATGTGCATGGAAATATGACTCATATGGCAATTCAATAAATGTTATAATCATAATAATTAACAACATTTGTATCCGTCATGCATACACCCGTCATGGCTACGTACATGTAAAGCATCCTCATAGCTAGAACCTGACAGAGCCTACCCCCATGTGGACTGACAGGTGTATTGCATACTTTTATATGATATCTGATAACAAAATCATCTTTCTACCCGGTATTTCAAAACAGAATACACTGTGTATAACCTTCAGAGACCTACCATAAAATTGCCTACACTGCCTTTGGCTTTTTTTTTTTTTTAATCCAATGACATACACAGCTGATACTAGAAATTGAATCCGATTTTTGCTGTTGGGTCAAAGTGAGTTCCCCCATCAGTTCTTGTTGCCCTTTGCCTTAACCTAAGTCCATCATTAGCCCCAACCTCCTTCAGATTAGATGACAGATATGTTATTTGTGCATGCCATCTAGAACGACATACAGCAGCATCTTAGGACAACGTAATTTGTCTGTGCCTTTGAAAGCCATTATGAATTGTTCTTTAAAAGCAAATCTATATTATGCACTTTGGCTAAGATTGGGTTTTGAGCTGCTTAAGCCTAGAGAAACACCGTGGTTTGGGTTAAAGCGACAAATTTAGAAGACCTTTGTCATCACAATCAAAATAAATATATTGTTATGCCCTTGGTTGCTCAGTTTAATGTGGCAATTATAATTATGTGAGCTTCAATCTCCCACCTCCTCTTCTTGCAGGAGGAGCCAGTTAAACTTGCATCCCCCTGTATCTTAAAAGGTTTTTCAAAATCAGGACCTGCATAGACAGGTGAAAGCTGCCTATCTCCAGGTGGTGGACCAGCCAAAAGGAGTGTTTTTGCTCAAACTGAACTATCGCAGTGAAGAGGCTCCAGAAAAACTGTGGTTATCCTACACAAACCCAGATTTATTTTTTCTGTTACTGGTGCAAGATATTTAGAATGTTTATCAATTGTCAAATGTCCGTCCATTGTCGAGGACGGTCAAGTTCATGTTTTGAAAAAATGAAAGAAAGAAGAAACAGAAGACAAACTGCAATGTTAACGTCACTTTAATGCCAGTGGGTTTTTTTTTTCTCTAATCCAACTGTCAACGCCGACCTTCTATGGAAACCATAGACAATGTGTTAAAGATGGACACAGCGACCGGGATGTCACTCATTGGTTTGTGGGCTACCATTTGGCATTTGGCTGTCGTCATGTTGTTTTTGTTTTGTTTTTTTTTAAACGAAGCAGTGGTGGATCTGACTGAACAACCCAGAGACACTATGCATGGTCACATGTTAGCGACTTGTCAGTCCCGAGGTACGGTAGCCATAAAACCCAATAAAACATCCCTTGCTTTTCGTCTCATTTACTGTAAATGAGACCATAGTTAACAAAATGAATGTCATGCTGTATGTGACCATAAACGTATTGAGTAAATGTTTAATGCGGTCACACATCAAAGAAGAAGTAGAGCCATTTTCTCTTAGACTTCTGTGCAAACTGGCTTGTTTTTGCAACCAGAGGAGGCACCCCCTGGTGGTTGTTAGAAAGAATGCAAGTTTAAAGCCCTTTGATGTTTGATGTTGGCTTCACTTTTCTGATTTGAAGGCTGTGTTCATCTTTTACATACAGTCTGCACAGGAAACATTGCATTTGTCAGTAGACTTCAAGGAGCAGATGGTGGTATGGCAGTATCATTAGTTGCATGGTGTGACTACGTGAATACATGTTCCCTGATCTTAGTTTTCATCCACATGAATATGTGAACCCATGCTTCTAAGACTTAACGTTCACCCAACCTCAAAGGATTTTATGTCAGATGGTGTTTGAAACAGAAAACAGGGGTGTCCAAATACATCAACCCATTTTACAGTTTGGTTGCATGAAACTGCTGGCAGGTGTAATGCATCACCGCTCTCTGACTTTGACTTCTCAAAGCAGTACCATGTGAAAAGACAACTGTAGATCGGATCAGTGGGCAGCACATCTCCTGGCAGGAAAGCTCTATTCAATCAGCGTAGATGATTCAGTCCAGGGGGAAAATGTCATTAAGAAAGTCTTTATTTTCTACCAACCCCAGTGGACATGAATCCAACGTTGCCTTCATGGGCTGTAGGATACATTGCATTTCAAATGTGGCTTCACATTGGACAAATCAGAGATGAAAATAGAGCCTGAAAAGGGACAAACCTAAACACAAATTAAAAGCAGATTAAACCCAAGAAGGATTCTGACTGTGTGGAGATATTGACAATGCAAATCACTGTTGGTGAATCCAGCTGCAGTGGACGGATGGCATTTATTAGATTTTGGATCTGGCAAATTAAGATAATGACTCATATTTTAGATTGCAATAAGTTAGTGAGATGAGAGAACTTTTTAGAGGAATCGTGTAAAAGTATAATTATTATTGTTGTTGCACACACGTTATGATTATGAAGCTCATTTGCACTACATGCCCCATTTTACCTGTTTCTGTTTAAAGATCTTTCCAAAAAAAAAAAAAAAAAAAATCGTTTTTACGAGCAACACGTGAAGGCGTCATGATGCTGCGCGCGTAATGGATTTCCCCAGCACTGCTGCTTATCGGGGACCAGGAGCTGCAGCTGCAGCAGTCCGACCACATTAAATTTGCTCCACCATTTCATGCCGGTGACCTTGGTCGACGGCGATCACGCCTCTCAGTCTGGGCTTTTCTTCTCGCCATGGCAGCATCGGACGGGCTGGATGAGGACTGCGTGCTGCAGCGGGGAAGATCTCAGAGTGACCCGAGCAGCATCACCGAGGTCCGCCTGGGTGAAGCGCACAGAGCAGGTGAGAGGAGAAGGGGGGTGCGGGGGGGCTGGACGCTTGTTGTACATCTGACATCAGCTCCTGAGCCCCCCAGCTGTGGGCAGGTGGTCGGTGGATGGGTCGGACACACAGCGAGGTTTCGGGGTTCGCCCGCGTCCCGTCGGTGATCCCACTGAATTTGTATGCAACAGACGTAGGTTGTGTTGTAAAACGTGCGTCATTTCGCTACTACCCTCTCCATGTTGTGTGCTGTGAGCTGCCGGCCTCCTGTGTGAAACTGGCCTAATCAGAATGTCATTCACCATGACGTGATGAATCAGAGGAGTTTACTGCATGAGATGTTTCCAACTGGTGTCAATCCAAATCTGTGCTGAGTCTTATTCTATTTCATGACATGCAGATTTTTTTTTTTTTTAACCATTTCAGAACATTTATGCTCATCAGTGGTGGTCTGGATAACCTTCTGTCAGAGCCTCACTGCCCAGTTCCTCATCTTGTCATCACACTGGGATTGAAACCTAACAGATTGGTGCAGAGAAAACCATCCACTTCGTTCGTGTCCTTATTTTTGATCATCCATCGCTCTGTATTGGTGAAATAAGTGCGTTTTTTTTGCAGCACGAACGCAGAACTTGCCATCACACACTGACTGCAGTATGTTGAGCTGAAGGTGATGAGAGTGCTGGTTGTGTATTTGGCTGTTTCCATGGTGATCCAAATGGCAGAAGGCAGCGCTTGGCTCTCCAACTGTGAGCCGACATGGTGTTTGTCTGTCTGCTCCACTGTACTGGTCCTTTTTTCCCTTCAGTACACTCAGTGATGTACAGCAGCCAGCAATTTAAAGTGAAATGCCACTTAGGCTGTGAATTGTGTTTATCTGTGAGGTGGGATTCACATTCTTGCAGGGAGCCACTGCGCAGACTCTCACCGGCGCTTGGTGGCTACAAAAAGCAGCCGGTCGTAAAATTGACTGTTTTGAAAGGCACTGGAACAGTGGATGGACATGAAACCATGACAAATCACTCACTTTTTTACTGGTGAGCGGCCCTTGATGACGCCGTTTTCCAAGCCGTGTGCCTTACGTTCAACTGGTTTCGCAGCAGAACAAGTGAGCAGAGAAGTTGATGCTGTGCAGCTGTTGTATCTGGACAATGCAAGTTGCTGAATCACAGTCGGATGTGCGTTGGGGTTGCAGCATAATGTACAACACCAGCTTCTCGGCGTCACGTAGACGTGCTGTATGTTCATTCTCATTTGATATTACAGTCTGTTTGAACATCAGACACTTTCACAGGGGCCGGCTATCTTTAGATAAGAGGGCCACGGCGCTGCAGAAAGGATCCTCAAGTTCTCTTTGCCAGGGGCGGAAACTGTTGTGTTCATGACCTCCGTTTTCCAGCGCTCGTCACGTTGTCTTGGTTGTTATGGTTACGTAACAGCGTTGGTGAAACTCCGAGGCGACACACGCAGGACTGTCCTGCGATACGTCGTTTTATTCATTTTCGAGCTAACATAGAATTCACCCACCCACCCCCCAGATTTCATCCAGCGCAGCATCAGGGCAGACAGGGCTCGGGCAATGCAGCAAGTTAAAACCCGCCCGTCCTCCCCTGTTCCTCCATCCCCTCTGCTCGGCGCTAACCCTTTCGTAGCCCTGGCACCCCTACTGCGGCTTTGATCCTGGCACTCGAAGAACCACATCCATTAAAAGGGGAGAAAAAAAAAGGGAGGAGTGACAGATCTCTGATGGTGGTATTATCATGGCATCCAGCTGGGCAATGTCACAGTGAATCAGCTGCACAATAGACTGGACTTAATATACAAACGACTTCATCTTCCGCTGTGTTGCTTTGGAGGAAAAATGAAATATTTTCTCTGCTGCATGTGGTTGCAGGAAAAAAAAAAGCCCACTTGCCATTTGTGCTGAACCTTCCCTTCAAGACAGATTCTCATACTGCTGTTTTTGATGCCACATGAAGCACTCAGAGCACCGAAGA